AAGCAAACTAAGAGGTTTTGGCACAATTGGAATCACACTCTACTGTAAGACTTTATATACACTTATTTTACAATTATTCATATTATTATTAACATAACCTTTGATTCTTATACAGTATTCCAGAGTTTAATTAAGTTTCAAAAGTTTCTACTCATTTAATACCGAAGAGTATTACTGAGTTCATTATGAGCTATAATTTTGTTTTTTAGTAACATTTGATATGAATTTCAAGTATAACTTATTAAATATAATCTTATGGTCGAGAGAGACATAGAGCTCTCAATTCTCAGAGGTATTAGAGTTTTATTTTGCGAGAAAATTAAGTTAATTGACGGCAATTGGCGAGGAATTAACGACTAGAAAGCTAGTGAAAAGCATAATTACTATCAGTAGGTTGTGAGCAGATATGAGGGCTGAGCCGTCTTTGTTGCAGCCGTCGGTGCCGCAGCAGTAGATGCAGTCGTCGTCATTGTTTTTGCACTGATCGGCAAATGTGATGAACACGAGCTTCGGGTCCCGCAAATGGCACGGGGCTAACGCACACTCCTTCTTGATGTGTAGGCCGTCCAAAGCTATAACATACGGTACGGGTGCCGTTCAGTCATATTATATTTATAATGCTTTCAATTATTTATATGTTTGTAAATTACTGTATCAGTTATCAATAAAATACTCTATACTTTAGATTCTGATTGTATTTTATTTGGTGTTCACTGCTGCTCTTATATTGTGTTTATGGTATTTTCATAAGTTATGAATTGTATGGTTTTACTCACGATTCTTGAATATTCTTGTCATACATTTATCGTAGGCCTGGTTTGATGGACAGTCCTGTAAGAATTCATCGGTGCAAAGGCTGTTGTCATTCGTATGACAAATATAGCATTTTAAAGATAACGTCATTCCCACCAACGCTATAATTAAACAAAAAGACATTAGTTTTGAAAATATTTATATAAATTATGTATATTTATTAAATTCTCAATTGAATACTTCAAATGCCAATCAAGTCTGCAATTTCCATATATCTTTTCAACAACACTTTTCATATAATAATCATAAATTGTTCAATATATGATATTTATTGTAATAAATAAATTATTTCTAATTTAAACTAATTAACTAAAACTAAATTAATTATTAATTCACCATGATTATATGGAAAAATCATTGGATAAATTTATGCAAAATATATTAAATTGATTTTGTAAATGATGAATCTATTGATTTGAATACTTACTCATTAACATTAAGATCACATAAGTTATGCTCAGATTAGCCAACAATACCATCGTTCAGATATATGCAAATCACCCAAAACTATAACAACAGCTATTAGAACATTAAATTAAATATGTTTCTCAACTAAACCATTATTCGCTTAAATCAATATATTTATTATAATAAATGTAAACAAATTCAAATGTAATTTACTCTTTGTTTATACGAATATCTGATTTCATTATAATATTGTTAATTGACTGAAAATAAACAAAACGTCGAGAGAAACATCGAAAACACTTGGTTTGCGAGCAAATGATTGCATCGGAATTAGTGGAAAGGGATGGAGAAGCCTATGATAG